TTCGCCCGGCAGGACCCGGAGGAGCCTCCACGTACCACGCCGCGCCCCCTCCCCGCCTGCTTCCCCCGCTCGCTCGCCCACTCACCTACCTACCTACCTACCTACCTTCAGGTGCAGCTTCTGCAGCAGGCGGGAGAGCAGCAGCGGGAACCGGCCCGAGTCCATGGCATTGAGCAGCGACACGGCCCTGCGGATGCTGCGCGGCAGGAGAGAAGACAGTCAGAGGGACCGAGCCCTGAGCCCCGGCACCGCGGCGAGGCCCTGCCCCCGACTCACCCGCCTTAACCCACCACGGTGGCAGCGGCACTGCGGCCGAGGCAGCATTTACCTGTCAGTCTCCTGAACGACGGGCGCCGCCATAGCTGCCGCTACAACCCCGCCCCACGACGGCAGCCCGGCGGGTCCAAGCGCCGCCGCTACTCCCCGCGGCGACGCAGCGCGGTCACGCTGGGCAGCGAGCCATCTCAGACGGCCCAAGCCAGAGAAGGGCCCCCGTGGGCTCGGGGCGCGGTGAGAGGCAGACTTACATCGTCTCCCTCGTGGGTTTACAGCACCCATTAGAGAGGCTGCGGCTGAAATCCTCGGGTTTAAAGGATTTAAAGACGGGCTGCCGCCTGGTGTAAGGCGCTTCTCGCGGTGTTTCCCGCTCCCTTACGTCTCCTCGGTGCTCGCTGTTCTCTGGTGTGGGTTGTGCGGAATTCCGCAGCCCCTCCAGACCCCAGAGAGCCTTTTTGTTCCCTTGTGGTACCGCGCAGCCAGCTCCAAACCACGGGCCAGGGAACTTGTTAGTACGCCACGAACTTGAAGTTGTCATACCTCCAGCTTTACACAAATGGTTCCAGAAGCCACGGAACTTAACAGTGGCTGGCGGCTTTCCCGTCCTCCCTAAATAACGTGTCCCCAAACCTTGGCCCATCCCATGCACAAGACCGAGCACACTGTGCCAAGTGTGTGCTGGCTGGTGAGCTGCATGAACAGAAGGGCATTAACATCGGAGCTTGCAGGGAAGCAGCGCTGTGTTGGGTATTTCGACTCCTTGAGTGAATGTCATGCCTATGAGACCTCTGGTTTCCAACAGCTTTGGCTGAAATTTGAAAAATGATCAAAAAGTCAATGGGACAAGCAAGTAGGAACAGGCAGCACAACTGTGTAAACCTTATTTTCCTAGGAAGCCAACTAAAACCATGTAAAATCTGCAAAAGCCCTCTGAATGTGGCTATAAAGGTTTGTAACATGCCTAAGAAGGGTTAGGTGAATGGTACTCAATTATGACAGGCTGAAGAGGCAGATGTAAACTTGCTGGAAATACGGTGCTGTAAGGAAATGTTTTACAGACATATATACTGAAATGTCCTTTATTGAAGTGAGGGGAACTTAGTCATTAATTTCAATAGCACCAGGGTTTCAGCCAGGACATTTGAAAAGGCAATGTATTTTGAATAGACTCAGCCTTAAGAACCAACTTCAGGGAATAAGAGTGACAAACCTGGCTGTATTCCAACAGGAAGCAGAGAATTCCTGGCTGAGACTTCCAACAACATCTGTACCATAGCTCTTACCAGAAGTTGGACCCACAGCCACTGTTACGAAAAGCCGCTGCACTTTTCAAGCTATTGTTCTGCAGTGAAATATATTTACATTTGAGCGCTTCATCTGTTTTTCTATACTCTTACAAAACATGAAAAGACAATATTCTAGGAAGAAATTTATTTGGCTAGAAAAGAAAAATGACTGGTTTACTCCATGCTGCAATAGCGTAACTTCTTGTTCTAGGAAGCTTCCCCCGAGAGCAGAATTTATATATAAAGTTTGCACAGACAAAATGAGCAAGGGCGACTAGAAGTCTAGACAATTGCTTGCTTACTTTAAAAAGTCCCAGCTGATACAGGTATTGGATGCGCGACTCAGGTTTGCTGCCAGTTCTCTGGTTTTATAATCATGTGGACCTATTTTTAAAATGTTTTTTTTCACGCTTTTACTTCGTTAAATGAATATTGAAAGTGAATAGTCTAAATAATGAACATTGAAAACTGGACAGGATCTTGTTATCTTTAGCACACCTTTGTATCTTAAAAATTGTAATATTTAATGGCCTTCACTTTCATTGTAGCCTCTTTTGAGCCACATGATAATTTTATTGATATTTCCTTTAAATTGCATGTTGTTCTAGGAACAGCTTTAAATACCTAATGCAGTATGCTAGGACAGCTGCTGTGTTTCTTTCTGCAGAGCTGTGACAACTTCTGATATCAAGAAGTATAGACATATTATTAAATAACAAGGGTCTTCAGTGGACAGCTTTCTGACTTTAACTTGAAGCACACTGTAGGCAAACAAGATGCAGTGCATAGCTCTTACTTTGATTTTGGAGCTTTCAAGTTTGTAAATAGCAGGAGATGCACAGTAGAGTCTTTGAAATCAAGAGAATCCACGTAAGACACTGCCCTGGCACATAGGAGGTTAGTAGATAAAAAACCATCTTTACCTACACAAAAATCATACGGGAGCACATTCATCATTTCCATGAGATCAGTTTCTTTGTAGTAATAACATCTTAGAAAGCAGAGTATGAGAATCTCCTTCCAGATAGGTATGTATTGTGAGCAAGGGAAATACAGTGGAAGGCACAATAAATTCAAATTAATCTGTTTTTAGGCAAGATACTAAAAGATGGTACCTTAAGTAGGTTATAGTTTAATATGTACCAGTGCTTTCATCTGTCCTTGAGCTACAGCGGGAGCACTGGTAGCCATGGGCAAAGCAGCCACACAGGACAAGTAAAAGACAGGCAAAATTGATTCACGGTGTCACAAACTGTTTAACCTGCATAATCCAGGACAGAGGGGCAGAGAGGGGAAGGGAAGAAGGACCAACAGGCCTTATAGAACAGTTCACTCATTTGCTTTCCGTATTTTAAACAGCAGCTTTCTAAAGCAAACTCATTCCATAGGGAAAAGCATACCTCATTGACATGAGGTAAAAAGATGATCTAGTGTCATCTGGAGAGTGGCAAATTTCATAAGAGGCTAAGAAATGTTCTCTGCCTTTTCTGGTAAGGGATTTTATTTAAAACCACAATGTCATGCAGTGTGGCATTATGTAACTGCCTAAAAAAACTATCAGATATGGGCACTGTTATTTTTATGTACATGTATCTGCCTCTAAATTTCACAGTCAATATAAACATATGTATGACACCGGTCTTTCTCTTTTTTCTCTTCCCTTCCCACCTTCTCCCCTTACATCACCCCAGCCCCAATGTACAAGTGCCCTAATCTGGTGGTTTTTTTCAGGTTTTGTGCTATTATTTTCAAGGTCACACTGTGTTTGTGATGGAGTTCTCTTACACTTTGCATTTAGCTATGATTTGTGATAGAGGCACAGTCTGTGTTAAAAACCACAGAGTCGCACCAATGAATTCAATAATTGGACAATCTGGGTTTAATCACATTACTCAAAAAAATTGAACATGTAGCTTTACCACAGGAATCCACTTGAAAAACTAATCGAGTTTTGCCTTTAAGTGGAAAGAATGTGAAGCTAATTCAAACCTGACCAATTCAGATCTTCAGATTATTTCAATGGAAGACTTCCATCTTCCTGTCCATGTAAATTGATTGTCTTCTTGAAGAGCTCCTTATTTAATCAAGTGCAGAATGAGTCTGACACACCTGGAACAAGAAGTCAGTCCCTGACTACAATGGAAGGATTTCCATCTACCCAAAGAAATACAGGTCAGAGATGGCATTGGCTATTTGGACTCCCAGTACAAGTCAAAGGATATACTCTGGGATCAGGGGGGAGTATGAGAGAACACCACCAGATCTGAATCTGACTGCCACACAGAGAGTGTTTTAACCACCATAGCAAATATTCCTGTGAATTTTTTTTGGTACTGAGTGTTTTTATGTTACAAGCTTAAGTACTAAGGTGTCACTAACCGAGAGGAGCAACAAATCTTTCTGAGGTATCAAGTCTGAAGGAGGCTGTGGTGTTAAGGCATTATCGGGATCTGTTCCAGGAAGTTTATTCTACAGGGAGGTATCTACACATTGGAGAGGAGGTCTTTGCCTGCAGAGAGTGGTGACTTGTACGGGAGAAAAGTGGTCCCTCCTCAAAAACAAGCAGCAAAGTGCCCAGGCCCAGAGAACAATTCCTCCACTAGCAGCACACTCCTGGAGTTTGCAGCATTTGCAGCCTTCCCCTCTTCACGATCCAGAGATCCCTCCCTCCCTCAGAAATTTTGTGCATGTCCATCATGAATAAAAAGACCTACTTCATAGAAGAATCATTACCTACCTCATTAGAATCCTATGATTCTAAGGCTGGTTGCAAGTTATGGTATTTGAAATCTGGCATGCTTTGCATGAAGAGGAAGCTCCTGGAAATGAAGAGGCTTTTCTGTCCAAAGGCGTAATTAACCAATCCATTTACCTCTAGCTGTATAATTAATGACTGATCAAGGTTGAGTGTTCTATATGCTGTAAACAAAAATAAATAAATAAAATCCTGACTGAATATGTTGGTTTCAGTCTTGCAGGCTAAGCAGCAAGAAAGAATTGCAGAATTGTTTCTGTTCTCTGCTTGATTTATGGAGGGACATGGGAAGTGGTGACCTAGTTTCAAAGAAATGTTAACTCAAGTGAATCCTGCCTCATGTTATACAAGACATGAATGCACAAGAAGGAAAAGACACTTGCACAAGCATTCACAAAACAGCCGTGTCATACATCTGCATAAATGAACAAGAGAAATCATCAAGAATAAAAAAATTATTACAGGTAACGTGGTTCAGCTTCCCAGGGTCAGAAAATTGTCTTCCCATGGCAGTCCAGACACCTTCAGCTTTAGAAAATCAAAAGTACTGACTAGGTACTAGGTAAAGCACACAAGGATGAGGAAGAATGAAACAGATACTTTCATGTAATGGAAAAGATTAAAGTCTGCTAGGCAGGCAGCAATAAAGAAGCACTGACAGGCACTTCACTAGAGACAATTCATAAAGCCAAGGTTTGCTTTAATAAAATGTGAAGAAGGAAGAACTTTGCTCACACACAAAAACAATAAGAACAAAGTCAGTCAGAGTCAAGAAATGGAAATACACTGATCACATTCCCATCTTCAGTCTCAGTTTTCTCATAAAACCATTTCCTATTGCAGCGACATTCCGCTCCACATTTTTTTGAATTGCATTTGGGGCAAGGATAGAAGCAACCCATGCAGGTCTCTTCCAGGCAATCGCACAAATCAACGTTATTACAAAGCAGCCTGCCATGTCTGTCATACTTCTTTGCAGGTCTGCAAAAGAGAAGAAAAAGTGATTTTCACAGAATGCTTCAACATGTACGAAGACTAAACCAAAAAATGTGGAAAACATCTGTCCAGGAACAAATATTTTCTCTTTAACAACCTCACAGCATAATGAAATACCAGGATTACATCCTAATTGCAACAGCCGCTGTTACTAAAAATTAAAGTATGCTAAGGAAGTAAATCAAAACTCTCTCAAGTTACACAGAAAGCTTGTTTTCCTAACACAGCTTTCATGTGGAATAAGAAATCTGCTGCAAAATATTAATGCTTTTATTAGTTTAATTTATATTCTGTAAAGAGCATACCAACCATTTTTTTAAAGTAACATATGTAATAAATTAGCACATCTTACTTGGGCTTCTTAAAAAAATCTTGTTTCATCTGTGACATGCATGCTTTCTTTTTCTGCTCTCTAGTTTCAGGATTGAAGTCAGCTACCTGAGGTCCTGGATTTTGAAAGGCTAAGGATTTTAATTGTTTCTCAAGTTGCTGATAGAAATAAACAAGAGAAAGATTATAATTAGTGCAACAGATATTTATTAGCTGCCAAATGACCTCCTGGCTTTCAAATTACATTAAAATTCATACTCTTGATAACTCAAAACCGCACAGGTAGGAAAGTGAAGCAAAACTCCACCTAAATTAAGATAACATTGTTTAAAATGCTTTCTTGTCTGTTAATTGAGTATTCCTTTGCCCAACTATATATCCTGACAGGAGAGGATAAACCATGACTCTGCATACACGTGAGTGGTACAGTGGCATGAAGTTTGAAGGTCATCGTGTGGGAGACAGTATCATGTATTTTTTTCTTCAACTTTATCCATAATGTAGAGACAAGTATTTGTGATTATAAGCATCACAACTGGATTTGCTGTATCTTAACTGTTCTCTCAGATGCCTAGAAACCATCTCTGTCCAAATAATCTGAGGGCCATAGAAACGACTGGCAGAGCAGCTACTGCATGAAGGGAGCACAAGTGAGAAGTATGAAAAAACACAGACAAAAATAAGGAAGATAAACTGAGCAGAGATTTTTTTAAACAGGAGGGAGCATTTTCTTGACTATTTTATGGAATTCATATTTGTAAATAGCTAAAACTGCTGAATAGTTCTGGAAGTTAGAACATCAGCTCTATGTATTGCCATTCCACACAGCCAGTGTATGTTGAGAGTCATGTCTGAAGTCAATGCAAAGAAACATGGGCCTTGTGTCAAACAATTTCTCTTTGGACAGTGACTGTGGACATCAAATGTACACTTGTAATTCATTATGCAATGACACAAACACACATGCAGATTTATCTTTTCCCCTCCTTGGTAAATGCAGCTGACTTGCCACCCCTCAACTTCCCTAGGGGGTGTCATCCCTTTCATGGTCCACAGTGATTTTTCACAAACAAGTGATCCCCTTCATTACTTCTCCTGGGGAAAAAAGTTCAGTCCAATCTGCTGATACAGTGATTTAGAAATACTCACTTGAAGTCACTTGAGTCTACTTGTTTACATTGTAGTTGATGCCATGCATCTTCAGTTGCATCTTTCTGAAAACCTGTAGGGCAATCTCATGCACCTACGCTGTTCAGCCATTTCTTTTGCCTTTGAGTATGGGGAGATCTTCAGTTCAGAAGATATGCTTCAGCTTCATCATTGTCCACCACCATAAATTATGCAATTTTAAGTTGAAACATATAATAAACTATGGAGATAGTCCTTCCTCAAAGAGTACTCTCTTATTTCCCCACTTACGAGATCATTGAGCTCAGAAGTGTTCTTAGCCCTCTAAATCACTGCACTGCAAACTTGACTCATTTCACTGTTATTACTGATACTTCTCTATTGACTCTAGCTTTTTATTTCTGTAATTATGTAAGAAATTGAAGGCAATAAGTATCTTGATAATAAAAGGGTACTGACGAAGTCATACCAGTTGTTTTTGTGTTACTGAAGCATCCTTCTCAGGAGAGACATTTCCTTCTGCAGATGTTTCCTGGGCAGAACTGCTTTTCTTGCAGTTTTCTTCTGTGACATCACTCATTTTTGGCCACCCTTGTGAAACACACACATACATGTGTTAAGACATATACGGAAGTGTGAGATCCACAGAATTTTAAGTGAAAGTTTTAAGGTAAGCAGGTGATATCCATACTAGGCTTTATGTATTCTTAACCCACAGCAAATGCAGAATAAATGTTGCTCAGTATCAGCCTCGATTAAACTGTATTAAAATAATGTTAACTAACATAACAAAAGCTGTATCACCAAAGGCACTCTACAATTGGTTAAGCAAACCTCGGAAAATCTCTAGTGTTTAAATAACACAAAAACTGAAAGAAATGCTGTCATCTGTGATTCTGTAGCTGGCACCGCTTCAGCGCATTGGCAGCTGTACCGTAAAGGTGAGAAACAGTATTCTCACAGAACGCGTAAGAACAACCGGGGCCGGGCGGTGGAAATTAGAACAGCACGCAGGAGCAGTCATTTCGCTTACCAGCAGGTGACACTATTCTCCAAGCTGCCGTTCTTTTTGCAAGCCTCCGAAAAAGAGTGGCCGCGGCGGCGTTGCGGGGAAGCAGGAGGGGTCCGGCCATATTCCCTGACGTTATTTATAGACACCCAAAGTGTGTGTGTCAGAGTTGTGTCCCTGGCAACGAGGCTATTCCCCACATATTCACAATTTTGTTTCTGAGGATTTCAACCAATGGGCTAAATTTCTTGGCTTTTACACCTCAGTCCTGAAACATTTTGTGTATAAACAGAATGTGTAAATTCTAGGATTAACAGAAAAAAGCGAATCACTCACTTTACTAACAAAGCACCCGGGGAAGACTGAGTTCTGCAAGTCTGTCCTGCAAAGGCCATCCATGACCTCTCTGCAGCCACACAGAATGGGGGTGGAAACTGTTCAGGATGGCCTTATAACCCATCTTGTGAACCTACTTAGTTAAAACATTTTTATGCAATATATGCAGTGCCAGTGCCTCAGACTTTTACTCCAAACACCACCAGAAATATTTAAGCTTTTTTGGAGTTCACTCAACCCTTCCCCAGGTGCTGCCCATTTGCTCCTATTGCCTCTCAAAGGTAGTGCAGCTGTCTCTCCCAGGTTACCCTGCACGTTAGGATTGTTACCCAAACACTGCCCCAGAGATGATCTTCATTTCACCACTGCCAAAGAACCAGCAGAAGAGGAGAAGGAGAGGAGTCCAGGCCTTTAATTCCTTCTATTGCAGCCCCTCCCTGCAGGGTGCCAGTCAAAGCCGGAACAGCAATGAGAACAGACGTTGTAGTAACGGGAGGGGATGCTTTTTTGGGGAGGTGAGAAAAAAACACCTTCAGCCTGTTTCAGACAGGGTTTCCCTTTCTCTTCTTCAGTGACTTCAAGAATGACTGAAGACTGTAACAGTTTAGTCCTGGGACTTGAGCATCTTTCTATAAAAGCATTATAAAAGGAAAGCTATTACCATGCAATTAGTATTTGCTGTATGGAGGAGCCTTGCTCTCCCACTGGAAATTTGCTAGGGGCCCACAAATAAAATGAGAATGAAGACCACTGCTCCAGAGAAAGTTAGTATTGCTCTTCATTTCCACTCAAGTTTAAGTCGTGATAAGGATTTACTTCCTACATCTCCTCTTATGTCCAAACCATACATCCAGCATTGTTAAAGCATTTCATGTGAGTATGCATGACCACCATCCATGCCTGTTTTATTACAGTGTACAGGGTTCAGGAGCAGAACAGCCATCAGGAGCCAACAGCGTAAGCATGCAGAATTTCCATGTGTCCTCTGGTGGTGTAAGTATTTGACTCCTTTGGCAACTAGGTCCAGATAACTACCAGTTACCTGCAGCCAAATGCACAAAAATCAGAAAGCCACTTTTTAAATACTGTCAGAAAAGGAATATGCATCTTGTTCCAAATGTGTTTCAAATGCCCTTGCACCTCAGTGGAAATGTCCCACACAGAAAATCTGGCACATTTCTGTCTCCATCTGTATTGTAAAGTGTTAAATTCTAATCTCCAGGAAAGATACTCAGAAATGAGACGGAGTGTGACTAGGAGACTGTGCAACATTCAGAAACTGGTGAGACCCACAGGACTGATTATCCTCCACAGCATGTTCTGAAGGGGAATAAGAGAACAAGGGAGACTTTGAGACTTACACATCCACTCTCACATCTGCAAAATCTAGTTATCCAAAGGAAAGTATTCTTGGCCATAAAGTAGAGTTCTTCCATCTACTATTTTTGTCTGGCCGTAGTGATAATTCAGGAGCAATGCATTGATGCATAGTCTCTTCCATAAAAATTTCAACTCTGCAAACAACCATCAATTGCACTGTTCCTCCACGAAACCCTGTATTCTCCCACACCTTCTGAATACAGCACATACTTCCTGGAGGCGATAATCCACATTTTAACATCCCACCATGGCCACAGTATATGGCTGAGAACTTGCAATTTTGGCACAGATCAGTGGCACAGCTGGCAAGGCTAAAAGCATATTAAGGGAGGAAGAGAATCAGAGCCTGTATTATACTAAACAGAATTGGTCTTTTCCAAGGGACGGATGTTTCTGCTCAGAGAACAGTTTCAGAAGATGCTGGGATGTGGAAGGGCAGCATTTGTTTATGATTTTCATAACAGCAGTATTTTCCTGTATCTGCTCTTTCAAGAATTTAATATTCCTATTATGATCCTTGCAGTTTGCACTGCTGAATATTTCAACTGGTGTGAAACGTGGTGACCAGCATTCCAGATACTTCGGCTGCTTGATCTCAGCAGCCTAAAGCTAGTACCTCTGCAGAGCTTGACAGAGTGAATGCACATTGTTTTCAAGTTGTACTTGTTCATCCCATTGGAAGCTTTCTGGCTGAGATCTGTACGTATGTTAATCACCTTCACCAGGGCAAAACAAGATGCTGTCCCTACAGCTTTAATCCCCTTATGCCCACACAGATTAGACTGACCCATTGCAACAGTCCCATCTTGCTCATAGCCTGGTTCTGCAGAGATGTCAGTATGCTCAGAAACCAGCAGTCAGGCCTGTGACACATTCTAGTATGCATCTTGAAATCTCTATAGGACATCTGGTGCCAGCCAAATTAAGACTGAGAATAAATTAATCTTTCTCAAGATGAAGTATGGACGGAGCTGTAAAGATGTGGAAAGGCCACTCACCAACTAGTCCATGCCTTCTCTCATAGCCCTAAATGTGGGGGCAGAAGATGGCCTCGAAGTCAGATGGAAACACAGACAAGATGAAAAAATAGGTCTCATCTCTCGTAACTCAGATTCTTTCACAGAAAACTGATAAACATGGTGACAGAGCAATGGCCCATTCTGTGACAGAAGTCTGGAGGAACAAACCCTGCCCTCTCCCAGTAAAATAAAACAAATCCTCATGAGTTTTCCCTCACAAACCCACAGCTTTTCTGCCATACCTGAAAGTGAGGGATTCTTTGGCTTGAAATCTAATGCAATTAGAAATTTATGTGCCTCTTCTGGTTGTCATGCAATAGGAAGAAGTGATCTGCCAGACTTACCTCCTGAAAACCTGCAGTTCTGAAGGGCTTATGTTCAGTTCAGAGCAGACAGCAAGAGAGAAAGGAGGTTCTCCGGAATTTTAAATTGTACTTGCCAAAGGAAGGGACTGGCACAGTGTAGGTTTATTGCTGCACAGTTCCTCTAGTAGTGGAAGTATGACATCAGCCCCAGAGCAACTGAAACAGAAGACAAATAATCAAAATAGTGCTCCCCAGAGAAGGAGGCTGGAGACAGTGCCAGGTGACTATCTTAAAGGACCTCACATTTTCTGCCTCATTAATTATGGCTTTAAAATAGTACAAAGAGTGGAAACAGAGAAATTATATAAACTGGGGTGAGAGTCCTCATTATTAGTTGCACCTGCGGTATGTTCACAGAGCAAATGTACTTCTTAGAGCTTTCTTTTTCTTGAAAGTAAGTAAATTAAAAAAAAAAAGACTGTCATAGTTACTGCATTGTACAAAAACTAAAAAAAAAAAATTTAGTAGTATGGATGTAGTAAAGGAATGTTTTACGACATCAGACAAATATTTTGGATACTGTTCAACATCTCAAACCATCTCCTAGCTAAAGTGACAATGCAACCTCACCATTACGCTTACTATCTTTCAGGATTAGTTGCACTAGTGCGGACAACTCAGGCTCCTCCTGATACCTCTAGATGCCAGTTTCCAGCATGCTGCAATCACTTACCGCTTTTATTGCTCTTTAGAACACAGCTAAATCTTAATAAACTTCCTGTCGTGATTTAAGCCCAGCTGGCAACTCATCACCACACATTCGTTTGCTCACTCTCCTCCTTCCCCCCCTCACCTTGCTGCTCCAGGCGGGATGGGGAGGAGGACTGAAAGAATGTAAACCCAACAGGTTGAGAAAAGAACTAAAGTATAATACAAAACTACTGCTACTACTACTAAGGGAAGTAACAAGGGGAGAGAATATAAAATTAAATAGGAAAAAAAAAAAAAAAAAAAGAAGAAAGACAAGTGACAATGTAATTGCTCACCATTTGCCAACCGATACCCAGACTGACCCAAGCAGTGATCTGGGCCTTCCGGACAACTCCCCCCCAGTTTATATACTGGGCATGACGTGATGTGGTATGGAATACCCCTTTGGCTAGTCTGGGTCAGGTGTCTTGTCCCTGTTCCCTCCTGGCTTCTTCAGGCCCTCCTCACTGGCAGAGCATGAGAGACTGAAAAGTCCTTGACCACAGTAAGAGCTGCTCAGCAATAACTAGAACACTGGTGTGTTATCAGCATTGTTTTCAGACTAAAGCCAAAACACAGCCCTGCACCAGCTACCAGGAAGAAAAATAACTGTTAAAACTGAACCCAGGACACATCCAAACCTGTCAAGTCTTATGAATTCTTCTGTCGTGCTTAAGACAAATAGTCTAACATCCATCGTCTGGGGCATTTCACAAACCAGTCTGAGAGCAAGTAAACTTACGATTTGCCATGTTCTTTCCCTCAAAACACTTTTAAAACCAAAAGCCAATTCTAGCAGCAGACCTTAGCTAGGTGATTTAAATGCTGCTACATATACCTCATTTTGTTTCACAAACTGTTTTTCTTGTTGTGAAAATCAAACACAAATGTCTCAAGCAGAAAAACAAAAAAATCAGTCTCCAAGGTACTCATACAACAGCAAGCCACAAACAAAAACCTACACCCTACAAACTGCGTAACAAATAAAACTGAATTAGTGCTATAAATACAAAATTTATAATTAAACAAGCCTACACTTACTACCTATTTTTCTTTCATTTTGCTAATACTTAACACTGAGGTATCTCAACTTTTTCTATATTGTTTGTGCATGAGTTATATTTGTTTATCATGGCATGCATGATAGCATGAAGCCTGCAATCTCCTCAGAATAGTTTTTTAGTGAGTGGATGTTAGGCTACGAATATGGATGGTAGGCTACGAATAAGTGAGGATATACAAGTAAGACTAAAATCTTTAGAGAGATTGATTCTGGTGGTTCAACTCCTAAATGGTTCCTCCAGGAACAAGATTTCCCCACTGTGAGCATGTGACTGTAAATACACCTCCAGATATATGATACAATTGTACTAAGGGGTTTGCGGGGAGAAAAAAAAAGAAATTGTTAAAAAGATTTCTTCTAAGCTTCCTGGCCATCATCCAATGTCAAGCTGCTTGCTCCTTGTACACCTCAGTGCTCTCTGCCATGCAGTGCACTCAGTAGCAGCCTGCAGCCAGCACAAATAGGGCAGCTTGAAGAGGGAAAAAAAATGCATTTTCAGGTATTAAAACCTAACTTGTAATGTTCTTATCCCACTGGAAAACGGTTCCCTGGAGCCCTTTGTTAAACATTAACACAGAGTAATGTCTTAGAGGTGTTCCTCTTACAGACAATTCATTTTCCCCTTTTCCTTGTCCTCCCCACACCCATTTTTTTCTAAACTGTCAGGTTTATCGGGGTGTTTCTGCCTCTGGATTTTTCTTTTCTGGATTTTCAAATCAGCAACGGCCAAGGCGGGGGGGGGGGGGGGGGAGGGGGGTGGAGGGAACTGGCAGGGAGCATATGGAAAGTGGGGGGATAATTCGGATAACTATAGTGGCAGAGATGCCAAGGGAAGAGGCTATGAGACGTTTGGGTGAGACACACGGGGAGAACAAAACACCTTTCTCCAGAGAAGGCTGTCAATCCTCCTAATCGACCAGCCCGGCGCCCCAGCGGCTCAGACCACCTCATGGCTTACTTAGTGACGAGTCTTCCACACAGGCAAAAGACAGCAAAGAGTTGCTTTCTCCTGTCCACCGCTCTGTTACCGAGCCCGAAGGGCGAGGCGCAGCTCTGCTGTCATTACCGCGGCCGCCTTCGGTTCGGGCCGCCTCAGCAGCGTACTCCCCCCCCCCTTTGCTGCAACCCCTGTGCCGGTTTCGTCCTTCTCCGTGCTTCCGCCCCTCCGCTGGTCGGTGGCGAGGGCCTCGTCTGCTCCCTCTCTGCTCTTGCCGCTAAATGTGGGGTATAACGGCCCTTCCTCAACCTCTGCGTTCTGCCCATGGCGGCTGCGGGGCTGTGGGGAGCCGAGGGGCCCGGGCTGGTCCCAGTGCTTCAATCAGCTGTGGGACACACCAAGCCTCTCGGCCAGGCCGGCGGCGCACTGGAAGCGCCAGCTAGCAAAGGACTAAAATGCCGGCAAGCAGAGGGGCTAGGGGAAGAAACACAGAGCTACAAACAGCAGTGCGAGCGCAGGGACAGCGAGGCAGGCGGGCAAGGAGCTGCTGCAGGCGCCAGGGCAGGCAAACCCCTGCGGCCCCTGGACAGGATGGTGGTGGAGCAGGTGCACGTGCCCTGGGGGAACTGCGGCTTGTGGGAAGGACCCCGCCATGAGGCAAGGAAGAGCATGAGGAGGGAACGAGCGGCTGGATGACCTCAACTGCCATTGCTCCTGAGGGACCACGGCCTGACCTCAGCCCAGATTACTCCTCCCCGCTGGGCTGCTCATGGGGAGGAGGCGGAGTTGGGAGTGAAGATGAGCCTAGGAAAACACGAGGGCGGTGGGAAGGTGGTGGTCTCTGTTTTGGTTGTGTTTCTTGCTACTCAAGTTTAACTGGCAATAAATCAAAGTAATTTCCCCGAGGAAATCTTTTTTGCCCACGATGTTAATTGGTAAGTAATCTCCCTGGCTTTAACTCAACACGAGTAGTTTTCTCCCCACGTTCTGTTGGGTGGGAAAGCACCGCTATGGGCCTCCTGCAGCCAGTTAAGGTCAGCCCACCATCGCTGCTTAGGTGCCTGCCTCAGAGAACATCGCATCACAAAGAATGATAATCACGAAAGATCTCAGTGCGCTGTAATACAAAGTTAAACACAAAATTGATCACTCACGAAGATGCAGTTGGCAAGTAGCAGGGAGTAACCCTGAGAGATGTCCCCGCTCAAGGGGAGATCACCACCACTTAGTAAGCTGCTCAGCAGGGACTGCTCAAAGAAAGCTCACTTGGGCTGTCATATTTATGGAGTAAAGTGAGCCAGCCGGCTCTCAGCCAAATTCCGCGCAATGGGAACGATATGCATGGCACTCCTTGGACTCACAACCTCCCCTGTTCCTTGGCAAAGGAGTCTCAGAAGAACCACCTGCTTTCATTTGTACGAATCACATGGTCAGTGTTCAGTTTGCAAGCTCGTAGGCACCAATGCTCACCATGTCATCCTGTCCCTGTGTGGGTTTTCAGAGAACAGGGTGGAGTGAGAGAAGTTCTTGGCCTGGCGGTGTGCGAGCCCTTCCTGCCTTTGGGACCTGCATCACACTACCACTGGTCTGGTCAAAGAGTTCGGTCCAGCCATCACACCCCTGAACCTCTGTGCTAGGGGATCCACATGCAACAGCTTTTTGTCCTCTCTTAATCACTACACAACAGAAATGAATTGAGGCCACATCTTTATTCATTTATGGCACTTTAGACTCCGTTCCCTTTTCCCTACCCCATACTCACCCTTCTGGGACTTGAAACAACACTGAAAGGAGTGCTCTTGGATCTTGACTTAACACTGCTGAAGTCTCTCTTCCTACCTGGGAACAGCTTGGCTCACAGAGAAACTGCATGGGCAGTGCATGGCAGCAGGAGGACACAGGATTTCTTAGGGCCAGCTATGGCATTTGGAGGGAAGCTGGAAGCTGTGTGCTGTGGGGCAGCTGGTAATGGTGACTGCAGCAGAGACTGTCAGGCTGCATTGATCAGCACTGTCAGGGTTTAGGCAGTGTGAGCTATTGATGGGCCAGGAAGACGCTGTGCCCTTCAAGCCAGCTCAGAAATGGACAAAACCAGCCCAGAGCAGTACAGAGGCAGGAGAAAATGATGGAAACTGAAAGAGACACATGGAGCATGTTGGGGACACAGCTGAAGATACACACTTGGGAGACGGGACTTGATACCAGAGGAAGGATGCCCCCCCCCCCCCCCCAGGCAACTGCAGCCCATGGGCAACTCATGCCAGAGCAGGGACACTGGTGAGGAACTGCAGATGACCAGCACTGGGGCAGGGGCACACCTGAGGAAATATCAACCCTGTTCTAGATGAATAACACAGGATCCAAAAAAATACAACATAGTCCTTCAAAATACCTCAGGTTGAGTTTGGGGAAGTAAGGCAAGCAGTGCACTTAAGAGACTGAACTTTTCCCTCTTTACACTGTTCTCCTCATCTCTCTTGGATCTTCCCTTGCTC